TTAGAGAAATATTAATGGGACTGGCAAAGATATTAGAAAATTACGAAGCTTAGCTTAAGTCAAATTTAACAGGCATTTCAAGTGAATTTTTATTTTATTTAATTGCTTTCTGCTAAGGACTAAAACAGGACTAGTATGGCGGATGGTTGTGCTGGCTGCACTTGACAATCACATCGCGATCCTCCACGGTGACGACACGCGCTTTGCACTTGTGAGCGCCAGCGCGTGCACAGGACCAATAGGTCTTTAAGCCTGTCGCTTTGTTCCGGGTGAAGGTGAACTCGCCGATCTTCAGCTTCCGACTGCCACGAAAGCCCGTTATATAGGAGTAATAGTTGGGATCTACAATAAGGTAAGAGAAAGAGAGAGAGAGTACAAGCAATTAGTAAAGATCATAGAGTGGAAAAAATATATATAATTGAAAAATTACAGACAGTATATATACACATTAAGCACGTCTCTAACTAGGCATTTATTTAACACATATTGAGAGTATGCGATATATATATATATATATATATATATATATACATATATATGATTATATATGCATAGCGTGTCTTTACGTATATACAGTTGGCTTAAGACTAACTAATTCAAACGTTTGCCTCCACTTTCACGTCGTCCTTGTGCGCTCGAGCTGCTGCCTCCGCCCGCTGGCGCTTCAGCGAGCCATATTTGCGCGCCTTCGAGATGACCTCGTGGTTGTGCTCGCTGTTGAGAATGGTGAGAGTATCCAGCTTTGTTTTGAGCCGGGCACGGCAGCGCAGTACCGCAAACTGACTGCATCGCCAGTAGGTGACATCCTCGCGAGTAATGTGCCGGTTGAAGGTGTGATTCTTCAGCATTATCTGCTTGGTGCCATACTTGCTGACGATAAAGAAGGGCGAGCTGTTCTCCCCGCTGCTGCTGCTGGTGCTGCCTCCAGTACCGCTAGCGTTGCGTCGGGTCTGACATTCGAGCTGCGAATCGTCTTCTTCGCCGTCCAAGCTGATCGGATAGTCGAACTTGACTGCAATTAAACAAAGAATGGGTTCAGAGAGTTGCATCGAGTTGCTGCTGCTGCTACTGTGGCTGCTACTACTGCGGCTGCTGCTGCTGCAGAAATAAAAGACAAGGCTTGGCTTTTCGATTACAACTTTTCATTTCAATCAGTTACAGTTGCTTAGTCAAAGGCTTAGACTATGCTTAACTAAATATTTGTATATGCATATGAATTTGCAATCCGTTCGAGCTAGTGACAGTGCGGCGCATGCCCATTGTACTTGGTCAAGCGTGGCCGGCGACTCAGCTCGACATGCACGTAGTGCACCGCGCAGTTGGGCGTCACGCAATGGTAGTAGGTGCGATATTGCATGGCACGCGTTTTCTTATAGCACCGTCCATCGATGAGCAGAAACTCGCCGTTGGACGTGCGCCTGAACCTCACAGATGCATCAGCTGTGGGCGACGTGGATGCTGTGGCTGCTGTTTGGTATGGGGATGATACAAATTTCAAATTACGTGTTTTTTAGTGCAAACGCTTAGGTATACCTTAAATACTATAAGAAGTCTTAGCTTAGACCGCACAGTGAAACCCTATTAAAAGCGAACAGGGTAAAAGATATTACTACTTTTCATACTTAAGAAATAAATAAATAAATAATTGCTATTAAAATTGGTGTAAAGCAAACAAAATTAGGGAAAAATACTAGGAATGACTTCGCCAATAAATGGCTTATAGCAGGCGCGCTTAACATTTTCACTGTACAGTGGTACACAACTAAATAAACTACTAAACGCGGTTTTTTTCATATTGCATTGATTCTTTAGAGATTTATCTATTTTAATATTGTTGTAATAACATTTCCTTGGTCATGAGCTTAGGGGGCAGCGTGTTGCCTGTGAACCGGGGGGGATGATTATGACGATTTTTGCCCAGCTTGATGCCCCCCTCGAATTTGGTTATGGCACGGGCGGAGCATTTGTTCTCGTTGAGTCGCTTGCCATTGCCATCGGAGCAGATCCAATTGATGGTAGCGCGAAAGCTGGCCTCCTTCTTGTACATGTAACCATTGAAAATCAGGTTATAGCCCTGCTTCTGGTTGCGCGTGAAGAAATAATCGTATTTGGTTATCCAGACGCTATTCGGGAGCTCCGCTATAAATTGTCCATTCTGGGCGGTGATTGCGCCTGCAATGGCATATGAAAGAGGGGAAATTTGTGTTTGGGTCCTCTGACTTGATTCTTGATTGTGTCCTTAAAATCACTTAGCTTAGAGCAAAACACAACATTTGAAGGCAGCAAATATTTTATTCAGGGTATACATACATACATATAGACAAATATACGATAGACTAAAACAGTTTACATTGCAATTCGTAGCATCTATGGTAGTTAGAAGAGTAGGAGCACTTACCGTTGCTATTCCTTTAGCTCAAGTCGCTTGTTTCATTCAAATTAACTGACAATTTTGCCAAAATAAAAACAAATTTGTTGTTCAACAACTCTCACAATACTCGAAGAACGCAAAAGATATTGTGCGCACTGCAGCCAGGCTTCGGCGTTTCATTGACATTTGAGCACATTTTACACATGTAGCACATTTAGTACAACTGCACAAATACACTTCAGTTATTTGGCACATTTTAAATAAGAACTTTTCAGAACGGTTTTTGTAAAATTTATTAGCAAGCAAAGCCAAGCGTAGCTAATCGCGGCGAAAATCACTAGAATGCGGCGAAATAATAACAAGATGGCTGACTCGTGATTGTATTGATACAGCAACGCTACATTCAACACTTACCGTTGCCACTTAAAACTGCCAATATGTAGCGAAAATTATATAAATTTACAAACAATTTATGTTTAATGTATTCAGCAAAAAATTTCAAAATTGACTGATATTACTCAACAAAAATGGTATATTACACATTTGTTAATATGAGTGTTTACTAGTTGGTCCAAGCTTTGTAACATGCCATGCGCTTTGAATATATATTAATATACCACTAACCAATGATTTATAATATATTAAGTAGTTTTACTAAAGTTCCTCCACAGTTTATTTATACTGAAATTAATTGATTACATACATGAACTGTACCAACTTTGGTACATTTGTACCGCATGAGTGGCAACTGTGTGCTTTATTGCGGGCAGGTGGCAACACCTGAAACGCAAGTACAGTGCTTCTTCTTAATTTGTGATTTACATTTACAGCGCATTTATAATTTTTTTATTTTAATTTTTTATTTAATAAACTCCCTCAAACTCTTATACTTGTGTTTTATTTTATTTTCGTTAAGCTGTTTTACTGCTGAGCCGAATTTATTTAACCTCGTTTCTCTATCACACCTCGTACAGCAACAGCCGCAGCCACATCTACATCGGTCGCCCCACAGGTAATTCCTCCACGTAAACGCGGTCGCCCTAAAACAAAGGTTGACGATGCCCAGCCGAAACTCAAACTACTCGATAAGCTCAAGGCTGCCACCGAGAATCAAGCTGCCAGCAGGCCAGCTGTATATGCCTCCACCACTAAAGGTAAGTCCACTTGTTGCATTCATTAAAAGAAAGTCGTCGATATTAATTAGAAATTTACTCTTGCGCAGGTGGCGTGAAACTGGTCTATGAGGGGCATCTGTTTAAGTTTTCGTTCCGCAAGGCCGAATTCTCGGTGTTCCAGTGCTGTTTCAGAGAGCATGGAGAGGAATGCAAAGTGCGCGTAGTGTGCGACCAGAAGAATGTCTTTCCCTTCGACGGAGAGCATGTGCACTTCATGCAGGCCAGCGACAAAAGCGTCACTTCCTCCCAATTTATGCCTGGCGAGGGAATTGTCAAACCTGCGGAGCCCAAGCCGGAGGCAAAAGTAGAAATACTTTTACAAAAGAGCACAGCAAATGACGAGAACGTGGATGAAGAGGAGGAGGAGGGCGAAGTCTTTGAAATACATGAAATTGAGGAGGCTGAATTGAGCGAAGCTGCAGCTGACGGAGGAACAGAGGAAAACTCGACTGCAAAACCCGCTCAGACCGAAGAAGTCGATCCAACCGATTTCCGTGAGCGGATAAAACGTCGCCTGCAGAAGGCCCTGCAGAACAAGAAGAAATAACGAATAGGGCACAATCTGGATGCTTACCTATATAGATTCGATTTCTACAATATGTTTTACACTATACACTATATGCAACTACACATATATAAAATTATTTACTTAATAATCACGTTTCGAGGCGATTCGCAAGCTGCTCGTTATATAAAATCACAAAGCAATACAAAATTCTTTAAGCAAATCATTTTTTGTAATAAACTTTGAGGACAATAAAGCAGAGATTCCAATTTAAAAAGCAAATAGCACGTAAGCAATACACCAACTCTAGAAATTATTTACAACTCTCCATATGCTTTGTAGCCATTTATAGGAGTAAATTTATAATTTATATAACTTATATCTCTCTTACTTCCTTTGCAGTGACGCAGCACGTCCACAATTGCGGCCCACAGACGTTTCTCATTAGCCGCAAGGGAGGCACCTTGCTGACCATCAACAACTTCGTCTATCGCTCCAATCTGAAGTTCTATGGCAAGAGCAATGACATATTGTACTGGGAGTGCGTTCAGAATCGATCCATGAAGTGCCGCAGCCGATTGAAGACCATTGGCGATGATCTTTACGTAACGAATGGTTTGTGTTAAATGGAAATGGAACTGCCGAGAGCTCACTTATTATATTATTGTGTTTCTCCTGTAGATGTGCACAATCACATGGGCGACACGAAGCGTATTGAGGCAGCCAAAGCTTCGGGCATGCTCATACACAAGAAGCTGAGCTCTCTAACCGCTGCGGATCGCATTCATGGCTGGAATCGCGCCGATCAAATCGACCAAATGGTTAAGTTTGAAGGAACGTAAATAAGTCTATCGATCGTACTATATTGCTAAGAGTGAGCCTTGACCCACTTGGTCAACTAAATACTTACGTCAAGTCACGTGCCTGAGATTAACGAGGAACGAGGAACTTTAACTTAAAATGCAAATATGTTTATTTGGAGAAATCATTACATTACATCAGCTATTTATATGACAATTACTATAAACTATTTCTTTTATATATGTATAAAGTATTAAAAAGACATAATTTTAGTTTAGACAACAAATTTAACTAAATTTTTTGCATAGGCAATACAGTTTCTCTATTTTATTATTATAGCCAACATTTATTTGTATACTAGAGGGAATATAGTCAATATAGGTAGCAAAAAATGAAGAAACCTGAATAATACTTGATTCGATATATGCAAATATTTAGAAAATATCATCTGCCAGTGTATAACTTCGATTCGTTGACCCATTTCTATTATATTCATATATGTATATGAATATACACTATGATTGCCAAACAAAATGAATCTACTTAAATTTAATTTTTTGGGCTTTTTATTTGATGTTAAAAACGCTAACTTTTTCGAACAACAGGGCTGTTCAAATTCGACAAACTCATCTGCCAGATATTACTGGGCAAAAAGTAAGGTGAATTTGTTTGTAAAATGAAAAATCTTCATTTATTCTTGTAAATCAATTTCTTCCTCTTCAAAGTAATCCCCTCCCGATAATAAACACCACGAAAACTGTCATCATAACCTTGATTTTGAATCTGGCCTCGCTATTAGCAAGATATTCGCTTGATCTCATCTTCTTAATCTCATCTTAGGAAACGAGATTTGACTTTTCGTAGTCCCTAATGGTCTTTCAAAATGGTTTTCACAGATCCTTCTTTTCCACCCGAAATGTTAGCCATAACTATGGAAAATGCTGCAAAGCGGGCATAATACGCCGTTAATTCTAAAGGCGGCCATTTGAGAGATATCTTATTCAAAAAGTGATGTCAACAAATCTACTTGAACCATCATTTTAGTAAACATCAAAAAATTGAGTTTGTCTTTAATTTAAAAGAAAAAACATGGGTCAGTCGAATATGGATAACCCCGTATATATGCATATATTACTTTTGGTCATATCATACTGTATCATTAAGCAATTTCAATTTATATGCATTACACTTTTTGACATTTAAATATATGTAGGTAAAATTATGCAGAGACAATACGAGGACAATCAAGAGCAAAATAAAACATTGAACATACTTATAAATCGAATGTACCTCAAATATGGCTAAGAACTTCTTGTACTTCTTATTCTTATTCTTATTCCTGGCTAACGAATTGCTTGGCTTGCTTCTTCTTGGAGTAGGATGACTTTGTGTTAACATTGCGATGTATGTGGGCGGCGCACGAGAAACGGTATTTGATCTCTGTGCCCATGGCAAAGGTGAAGACACGCGCCTTGCATCCCTTCGAGTGCTGCGAGCAGCGCCACGTTCCAATCTTGCCGACGCCCCGGTGAGATATGAACTGATTTTGGCCAATTATCAGCTTGGGATGATTTCGAGCGGTGGGCACGAAGACTGCAGTGCCGTCGTAGTCCCTGTACTTGCGTCTGCGAGAGCGACCTGAAATGACAAATTTTTTGTTTTTGATTAATTTCAACATATGAAGCTCAAATTCTATTGAGAATTTAATAAATCTGAATCAGTAGAGTTAACATATTTTTATTGCATTCCACCTTACATTTTTGGTTCGATCTGACATATTAAGGATTAAATCTAGAAATACAAATCCACTTTACTCCACTTGATTTTTGACGAAGTCTCGATGCTTTCTTTGATTACATATAAAATCACAGATTTTGTATAACCCCATTTGGACTGGGTGTTCCAGCACAAAGGTCGGTTTCTGATTTTCGTTATCCCATCTGATCTTATCCTTGCAGGAGTGGGCCTTGAATGACTTGTTGGCATTCATCCAATTGGTTAAATTCTTGACAATCACTTTAAAGGTGATGCCATCATTGAGTTACACCATATTCTTGCCTTCCGGTTGCAGCTGCAAGATATTGAAAAGAAAAAGCTTTTGAGACATTAAAAGCAGATTTTAAGTTTCTCAATAGAGAGGTGGAGGGCTCGTTGTATTGACTGGCCGGTGTATATATAACTGTATACAAAAGAGAAGTTAACTTAATTGGTTACAACTAACTCTAAGTCTTAACTTTAAAATTAAGCCTCATACAAATGAAAGGTGTATTATGGACTTTATTATATACAAGCATCTTCACTTTGCAACTATACTAAAACTAATTATATACAAACATCTTGAACTAACTTTAAATAGAAACTTACTCAACTAACTTTGATTTCGCATTACAATTAAAACTTAGATTAATTGACAATTTATACAAAATATATATATATATATTTATCAATGACTTTGACAAAGTTGCACTTAGGTATAGGTACTCAACGACTTCCAACGCAGCCTTGGCTAGTATTCCTTGCTAATGTAGACGGCGCCGTGGCTAGAATTGATGGCCTGCAGCTGCGGCAGTGCCGCGCCTGGCTGTTGCCGCTGGTGCTGGTGGTGCATCAGTGCCATCATTTGCGGCGCCTGCACGGTCACCGGCATGGACAGCGGCATAGCCAACGGCATGGGCACGGCCAAATGAGCTGTGCTCGTGGCATACGCTTGCGGCACAGGCGGCGGCGGTGGCTGCTGTTGCTGGTGCTCCATGGCACTAGACATTGCATTGTGTATGGCAGGCTTGGTATTCAAACTACCGCTCCCACTGACATTGCTTTTGGCCTGGCAGTAGAGCTGACAGAGCGGCAAGAGCTCCTTGTGGCGTCGCTTGATATGGCTGAGGAAGTTGCCCGTCGACTTAGTGGTTCCCGAGATCAGGCCGTAGCAGCTGGTGCAGGTAGCCTGTATGGCGCCGGGCGTCTTTTGATTGGGCTGTATATTCTTATAGAACTTACCATCAAGGATTTTCGGCAGTGTATACGGCTTCCTTATAGCCATGGTGTCGTCGTCGCTCAGATACGCAGCAGCGAAGGCGGCCACACAAGCGTCGGTCTCCAACACAGGCGTAGGAGTCGCTGATGCCTCCGAACTGAGCTCCACTTTGACATCAACTGAAAATAGAAAGTGCAGAAGATTAGTAAATGCGCTCGTTTAACGGATGCGTGCGATAGAGAAACGAGAACATGAAGACTTTCATGTGTCTAAATACATTTATTTCCAGTTATAGATGTCTTAGGCTAAACAAAGATGAGTGTCAAATATTAAATATTATTCTATTGCAGCTCGGACAGCTCATCAAGAATCTCTACAGTGAACTCTGGCGAACTACACTCGTCGGCCTTCACCTCTGGGCCATGGGTGTGGGGAGAGCCGGCAATACGCAAAGTGACGTCGTTCACCTTGGACGTGACCAGAGTGGCACGACAGCAATGCTTCACGTAGCGCGAGCAGCGCCAGAACACGTTCTTCAAGCTCTGCCTGTTCACCACATATCTGTAACCGTTGTAGATGAGCATTATGCGACCGCGCTGCGTTGTAGTGTATTGTATATTGGTGCTGGTGTTTTTATCCTCGAAGAGCGCTTTGATGGACTGCATTACACCTACAAGTAGAGAGAACATGTTGAACAGATGTTAGAGAGAGGGTTAAGAGTTAGAATACACATATGGAGAGACAAGGTTTACACATCACAAACGGGCTGGATGATATATATAGTAGGGTATTAACAAATTCATCTACAACATTTTATTTCAGTTAAAACAGTTAAACATACAAAGTGGCAATTCTTGTGTAATATAGAGAGAAATAGAATCTCCTAGCCACTGCCTGAGTTAGCCAGGTTTACTTTGATCGTGGCCAATTTGTGATCGATGTACTCTTGGACATTAGCTTCCTTCAGCTTGTCGCCGCGCCGGGCAAACACCTGGCATACATGGGCTGTGGACGGAACAGAAATCATATACATATATACATATTCACATAATAATGCGGTCTGTTCTCTATATACTTATGATGGCATGGAACGTTTCCTTTTCTGGCTGCTGTTCACCCAGAGCAATGCGCTTCAGCTTGTCCTTACCAATGACCAGATCGGTAACACGTGACGTGTATATCGGTGGAATGGGCACATAAAGCTTAGCTAAATCAGTTTTGGACACAAACACGTTGCTGCCGGCAAATAGTGGTATCGGTGCATCCTTTTCTAATTTTATGGTTATATCCGTTTCCCTTTCCTGTGATTTCTTTTTCTTGCCTTTGTTTCCTGCAAGTGTACACGATTATTAAAAAGTCATATATATTGTCAACAATTAACATAATAAATAATAATTTAAGTTATAAAAAAAAAAAAAAAAAACAATAAACGTTTCCTTCAGTTTTTATTTAACATTTTATAATAAATATGTTTATAAAGATATCCTATATTTACGTAGCGAACGTATCTGTGTGCACGCGACGTGCGTTTTATTTTGGTAACAGCAATGCACATTATGGCAATAAACGAAATATTAATTACATAAATGCACAATTTCAAATACAATGCAAAATGTTTTTAATAATTCACATTTCAACAAAGTTGAAAAAGATGTCTGTCTTTTGAGCAAGCTGCTCTAGGCACACACACCCGTACAAGCAATAAAAATGCTACACAGGGTTGCTTAGCGCGGGAAATGGGTGGCAGCGCTGCCAAACTATGTGGCAACGCCAAGATTCGCCGCAGTTGAGAAAACAGAATTGTAGTAATTGCTGCACGAAGTAATTGCAATTTTACATATACAAATTGAAACTCGTCCAGAAAATGTAGATGTAAGCTGAGCAAATCGAGTAAAAGTGCAAGAGTACGTAGTACTTGTGTAATAATGAAGTCAAACGAAATATATGTATGTGTGGTATCTCTGTGTTTGTGTTGTTTGTAGAATAAAAAAAATGTTTGTGTACAAATTATGGCATCGCATCTGTGAAATTGTCTGGGATCTCAAAACGAAACCCTAGAAGTGCCATTGTTTATGTGTGGATAATCGATAAGTTCATAAAATGCAATTTGCACACTGTTTAGCTCATTATCCCCCTTGAATTTAGTGCAAATATCTTAGCTTGGTCCTTCGGAATTGAAATGGTATTACAAAATGCTTAGGTCTTTAGCGCCACTATTATGCTCTCCCTTAAAGTGTTCTCTGTAAACTACAATTATTTAATATGTTAGCAACATTTCGATGTGACTGCATCTAAAGGAGCTTGTGCTATAATATTTCTATGCGCCATAATAATGTTTATGGTAGCCGCTGTTATGCTATTTATATTATTGTTGCACATTTTGTCCACAGCGCTATAAAATTTGCATATGTTAATGATAATCAAAACTCTAATTAGTAGTTATTTATAATGCATATATTAATGCATATTAAGAACATCTCACGAATACTATGCTATACAAATTTGACAATATAATAATTATAGTGCACGCTGTGTGGAAAGTTATAAAATCGCGAAATACTTTTTAAATGCTGGGCATCTAAATACTATACTAAAGTTAAACGCTGGGCAGCTGCCATATAAACACGATATAAACACGTCGCATTATTACATCAATTAAAATATATGTATTAAAAGGTAAGGTAAGATCATAATATATATATCATTATGCATAATCAATTATTATCAAAACTAAAATAAAATGAAAAATTTTAACAAAAAATGTTAATGTTAAAGTAGATTTAAGTTTATCTAGAATCTATGTATGCTTGAATATATAAAAGAAATCAATAAAAGCAAATAATTATTGAATATAGTGGATGGAATTTTGATTAATCCTAAGGCCAGTGAACAGTGTTTAATAGATTCAACGCTAACTTTAAACTTTGCATTTTCAGACTCGTTAACGGACTATAAGATCCAGCTGCCATTGCCAAAACGTAAACTGGGCCGAAAGGAGAGCTTCGATCATTTGGACGTTTGCTTCACGCGCAGCAATCGCGGCAACAACTTGCTGACCATCAATGGGAAGCCTTTCACTCTGAACCGCAGGATCAAGGACGCCTGCTATTGGGAGTGCGTGAAGCTGCGTTGCAAATACATCAAGTGCACGGCTAGAGTAGTGACCAAATCCAATCAGATATCCGCTCTGCGTGGGCAGCACAATCACCCATAGAAAGCAAGACATAAATAAATCTGATTGTTCAAATTTAAAAGAAATGAACTTCAATTCTTTATACTCGGAGGCACATTCTATGTTAACCCAAAGCTAACTATTTCCGGTCTTTGCAGGTGATCCTCGGCTGGCACGCTGCAGCAGCAACAGCGGCAGTGGCTATTGCCTCGTGGCCAATCGTCGAGGAGGCCAGAATCTCCTTTACAATGGATATATGTACACCGTGGAGCGCAAGTATCTGACGACAATCAACTGGGTCTGCGCGAAAAATGGCAACGTGAAGCTGCGCTGCCCGGCGCGCTGCGTGACCAACTCGAATCGCAGCATCAAGCTGAGTCACCGCAAACACAATCATCCCAGCAATCTGTACCAAATGCACAAGTCTCGAACTAGGCCGTAATAAACAGCAGCTCTGTACATACATAACTCTAAACGATATTCAATTGTAACAGTCGACAATCTCGATCTCGATCTATATTTGACTAACCTCCCACCTGTTGCTCATCATGCTTTACTAATCCATTCTCTTTCGCTCACTTCTTGCCTTTGCATGACGCAGCTGCCAGGCGACGAGGCATCTGCATTAAGGGGCGCGCCGGCTGTCTGCTCATCGATGGATATCGATTTGTGATCAGCTACCAGCAGCGCTACCGATGCTATCTGAAGTGCTCCAACTTCCGCAGCCAGTGTCGAGCCCGCGCCATTCAGAACAAGCTGACGGGGCAGCTGCAGCTGCGCAACGCAAGTCACAATCACAAACGCACGTCGTTAACTTGAGCAAGTACACTCTCACATACAAACGCACACACACAGCCACACACATGTATAATAAATCGTTTTTCGTATGCAAATTGAGTCGCCTGCTTTTCACTAATAATATACATACCCCCATCAAAAATATAAATTAAAATAATAATAATACACCCATTTAAAGTTAAGCATTTGTTTAACCATTTTCCCTCTCTTGCTGCTTTTAGGCACGTCTCCTGCCAATCTGGCCCAGTATGTGAGATCGAGTCGCGGCACGGATCTGGTATTCTTTGAGGGCAACACCTACACGCCCAACGAGAAGCTGCGCGAGGGACAAAAATCGCGGGACTGGAAGTGCTCCATGTACCACAAGGCCAAGTGTCGCGCTCGCCTGAACACGCGGATCACCGACCTGGGCGATCTGATTCACATGACCAGCCACAAGCACACGCACAAGCCTATGTATCTGCTGCAGCAGGAGGGGGCCGCAGGAGATGCGAGGAAACTGTGCCTCACTCGCAATCCACAATGCGAAAGCCTACGCACCGCCAAGGGTGGCAAATCAAACTAATCTTAGGTGGCGAAGACACAAAATAAAATGTGATTTTTCTTCATTTGATTTAATTTCATTGCTGATTAATTGATTTACGATATCGACTACACCAGTTAATGCCTTCCACTAATGTATTTATCTCTCTCCGATTTGCAGACGAGCTCTCTGGCTACCTGACCGTGGAGATGGTGACCAATGCGCAGGGAAAGCGCTCGCCGGTCAAGTCCCCTAAACTGCGCTTCATTCGGGGCCAGCGCAAATCCGTGCAGCTGCTCTACAGCCAATACGCGTATGCGAAGAACAACGAGCACGGCCCGACTACCTATTGGAACTGTCGCATACGACGCACTGGACTGCCGCCTTGCAATGCTCGGCTGTCCACGACGAAACTGCTCAACGGCAGCTACAAGGTGTGCCTGACCCGGCCGGAGCATAATCATCCGCCCTCGAAGCGCATCGCACGCATGCTGCAAGATTCTAGAGTTTAAGCTGAGAACAAAAATATATGTACGCCCTGAGGCGAAACGATTTGAATAAGACTTATTTAATTATATTACTAGGTTAAGTTCATTTGCAATAAGTTTAACTAATTGATTGTTTGTTTACTTTCGCGTGTGTAGAGAATAGCGTCGCGATATATTCGGCCACGTCGCGGGGTCGCATGCAGCTCATCTATGGCGGCCAGCCATTCATCTTCGAGAAGACTCTGAAACTGTCCACGGGCGAGGAGAAGCGCTACTGGCGCTGCAATCAATGGTGGAATCAGAAGTGCCGATCCCGAGTGTTCACAATCAACGACATTGTATGTCCACTGAATCGATTCCACACGCACGAGGAGATTGTGCGACGGAAGAAGCGAGTGAGGCGTATCCAACCCGCGCAGGAGCAGAGCAATGCGAATGCCAAGACGTATTCCACAGCAGCCGCATCTAGGCAAGAACAGCAGCAACAGGTGCAGGTGCAGCACGACCAACAGCAACAACAGCAGCACCTTCACCACACGCAGCAGCTGTCGAGCGATGCGATGCTGGGCACAGCGCTGAGTGACGAGGCAGCGGGCACCATCGACGTCAACGACCTGGGCATGCATTTAAAGTACGAGGAGATCGTGGCCGACGTGACGGGCATTGTGGGAGGACATACGAATGCGCGCGTGCTGAGTCGCAAGAAGTGAGCACGAACGGGACGAGCACAAGCAAAAGAAGAAGGACAAGGAGAAGGGTGTCTGTAGTTCGTAATAATTAAAGTGTCTATTAATACATTCTAGCTTCTATAGTGCATGTACACATTACACATTATTCAAGTAAACGCAATTTTAATAAACTTAGCTAAGGCTTCAACAGCAACCGAGTGATTCGATATACATGTATAATCTACACACCCAATGTAAACCCCACTTGCTTTCCTATGTCCATACACGCTCTCTCTATTTCCGTCTCTTGCAGCGGCTGTCTTCTACTACACCAAGGGCCAAAGGAAGTCCATCAAACTGAACTATGGCGGCCACAGCTATGTGAAGTTCATGGAGAACAGTCGCGGCACCAAGTGGATCTGCGCCACTCGCTCCACTACCAAGTGTCGCGCACGCGTCCGCACCAAAGGTGAGACTCTGGAAGTGCTGCACGGCCCACACAATCATCAGATCTGCCGGCGACATAGCGAACGTGCCAAACAATGACAAACTGCCAGCCAATCTTAAGTCGAACGAAATATATAGGAATCCGATTTCTACATGAACAAATGTCTATATTTTATAAAGCCTGTTTATACGAGCTGAGAATAAGAATTAGGATAAGCCAAGAAGAATATACATACATATATCGGAATCTATAAATATATATTGTGCAATGTGAACCCAAGACAAGTCAACAATTGAGATTAGAATGGAGAGATATATGTCCTACTTTTCTTACTGAAAATATATTTTATTTAAAGTTCACAATCAGCTTATTTAATACATGAATTCAAATAGTAATCGAACATAAAGGTTATGATATTATTGAGCCATAGCTGCAAATAACTTAACTATAGCTTCCTTATCAAATCAAATATTAGTTCTGTAATGAAACTGTTTCTAGTATATATAGCCGAATTGTGTGGGCAGCTAATGAAGCTCCTCGAAGCATGGCTCGCACATCCAGTTGCTGCCGGGGCAGGTGTCACAACAGGTGGCCAGACGTTGCAGATTGGATATGCCCTTCTTCAGGCAAGTCACGCATTTGCCCTTCATACGGGGCACACCCACAAATACAAAATTGTGCTGATTGCTAGAGGTACGTAAGATGTTCTCCGGATTGCTTAAGTTCAATTTGGCTCTCATGGGCTCCCCAACATGGACAACAGATTTAACGGGACTTATATTCAAACTTATAGTTGTTGGCGTAACAGTCCGTCGCTTAACAGCTCCTGCTTCCGGCAGCAATTGCTTGATGTTCACCCGCGGCACGGGCACACGCTGAGGATCACGGCGTACTACAAAGGTGTTGCTCACATTTGGAGTTCGTGTTCTGTGTGTGTAAGTGTATTCTGCAAGAGACGAGTTCTTAGTTTAGAATTATGTTTGGGAATGGATATGAATTTATAGTCTATCTATAGTTAAACTATATAGGAAGTGTGTAGGATTACATGACAAAGTTTATGTATACAAAGTTTTTATTAAGTACGAACATAGTGAATTCAATATATAGCATCTGCCTCTCAATCTTTCATGTCTGTTATCAAGCTCTCATTTCGAAAGGATCTGACGATTCGCAGGACAGTCTCTGTAAGAATTAATATTACAATATTTATCCCTTGATACTTCTATGCATAAATGTCCAGCATTGTACTTATTAATCCTAATGATTAGAATAGTCTCTTCCCTATATTTACAAAATCATTATGCAAATTTCTGAAGTCTTGTATTAATGTAGAATAAAGACGAAATTCCTTGATCGTTGAAATTACCAAAGAGTAGCCATAGTGAGAATCTGCAAGAAAAGGGACAACTCTTTAAATCAGTCCATAAACTATTTAAGGCGTTTACTACACAATATCTATGGCGTGTAAACTCTGGGTATGAACGTTTTTAGTGGCTGTGGTGCCGCATGATTGTGGCTGCCTCGCAGCCCAGTGATTCCCTTCCTCCTGGTAGTCAACGCAGCATTGCAGCCCAGTTTCTTGTGGAAGCTACAACGCCAAAAGGCCATGCACCGCAGCACATTCCTGGAGTGGCAGCTGTACGTGTGAGCCTTGTAGACTAGCTGGCCGCGATAATTGTAGCTGAGCTCTGTAAAATAATGGCAAGATGTGAGTTCGTTGGATAACATTAATTATAGCTAGGCACTTACTACTGGAGAGCACAGAGAGTGATTATAAATCTTGAACTAAGTTCTACAACATGTAGGGCTTTATTTTAATTCATGCTTAGAAACTAAATTGCACTCGATATAAACTAAAAGCCGTGGCCGCCTCTGCCTAGTCCTGCATCAGCATTAGTGAGGCATGCATTAATTCACGATCGGTTAGCTGCACGTCCGTGGACAGAAAGCGAAGCGGCTGTGGCTGCTGTATCAGCAGCTCCTGCTTAGGCTGTTCCACCTGGTACTGGGTTATGCAAGGCACGCGACTCAGCTTCGTGCGTGACGTGGTGCTGACAGCGGCCAGACGATTGCGTTGAATGATCTTCTCAATCTTCTCGGTGTGCGGCGCATGATTGTGCAGCCCTCCGGTTATACTCTTTAGTTTGCCATTTTCCAGGACACAGCGGGAGCGACAACGCTGCTCGTGCACCTTCTTGGAATAGTTGTGGCAGCGCCAGTACTCCTTGCTATTCTTTCTGCTGTGGCAATTGTACATAAAGCCATTCAGGACCAGGCACGGCGTCGACCAGGGGCTCTCAATGAAGAGAAGTTCGCTGTCATCTGCAAAGGAGGGAGATACAAATGTGTAATTAGCAACGATATTTAAAGAAAGGGCGAGAGTTCATGGTGTATATGTCATATAAGTGAGCTAACTAGTTTAATTTTAGCGTGACTTTTATTGAAGAGACATTTAATATAGTATAATTTAATTTAAAGGTTAATTTTCTTTATGGTTTGGTTAAGTTTAGCATCTGCTGCAGCTTCACTTTCTGCATGGGCTTCAGCTCGACGACCTGCTCAATCATCTCATCCTCCTCGTCGTCGGCAGCGTCGACCAGCGCTTGCATCTCGATCTCTGTTGCCTCCGAGGCGGGCACGTACAGCTTGCACTCCTTGCCATCCTTGGCGGTCATGATGCTTATGTTGCTGCTGCTCAAGTACTGCGATATCTTTGGGTTCGATGTGCATATCTCAATATACTCGTCCAGCTCCTCCTCCACATTGTACAGCTGCCTCTGTCCTATGCGACTCACATGGGATTCGTGATTGTGCTGACGTCGTGCGTCAACGAACTCTCCGTTTTTTGTGATGACGACCGCCTTGCAGCGCAGCTTGAGCACATCTGCACACCTCCATGTGGTCTGGCCGTTCGCCTGGGTTAGCTTCTTGTTGTAGATGTAGTCCTTGTAAACTAGCTGCGCGTTCTTCTTTTGGCTGCGTATAAATTTGATTTTGCCAGCTGCATTAGCGCGTATACAAAATGTAAATACAGAGGGTGAACAAGAATTGTAGAAGAGTGTGAGTTAGAGGTCTGCCTTAAAACTAAATGCAATAAATATACGAGTTACAATTTAAGCTTAGCTACTTGAAATAAAACAACGCACATTAAACAGTTTTGGCTTTAAGCATTTTATTATAGCAAACAACAACCACCCAGCACATACACACAATTATTTGTAGGCAAATATTTATCAAGATGCTACTGAGCATATGGAATGGCGATTTAGGAGCAATCCAACTTACGGCAAGCCACAACAAAGCTGTCAACAGAAAATTATACATATTTTTGATTACAGTACAGATTCACAATTATTTCACAGAAAGCATGCACACAAGTTTGGCCTTAATTTCACAGAAAGAAGACACTCAACACTTTTCACTTATCGTTGCACTGCTGCATATGCACATTCAATAAGAGAAACAATCGTAAAATTGTGTATATGTACGCACCTATAGCAAAATGAAAATAAATTAACGAACCAATAAAAATATGTATTTAGCTTGGTCTTCCAAAGCATCTCCGGCGTTGCCACCTTTTGGGAGCACAGAGTTGCATTAGCATAAAAGAGCCATTAAAATAAAACGATCTGGCAGCACCATTCAACTTTAATTCCATTTATTTTTGCATATTAAATGTATAACATGAATATATATTAATTCAGCTATTATAATAAACTTGTACGTACCGGTCTCTTATTTTATGTTATAGTTGAAATCATTAACCGTTTGCCCAGTGCCGATATATAACAGTATACTGCCAACAAACTTCAATAATTCCACATAGAAAACTGAATAGCTTCTCAATTTCTAATAGTCGTGCCATAATCATCGGCGATAGTTCCAGGAAAAAGCATACATGCTATCAGCCGTTTTGACAATAAATGGACATGGTGGCAACTCCAAACGATAAATGCGTATTGAAAATGTATGCCATGAACGTGCCATGGAATGAAGGCTGGCTTTAATGTACTAATCGAGAAAACACTAAATAAATTCAACTCCATTTAAATTTCTTCACTTCCGGAAAACAATAAGCTGCACAAATTGTAAGACTCGGCAATCAATGCCGTTGCTCGAATCACCGTCAGCAAGCTTTTACGTTGCTGCGGCTATTCAAAGCAACATCTTATTCAAACAAGCAGAACCACCACCACCGACGACGCTCTGACATTTTCTTTCAGGTGGCAACGCCACATCGAAATCCGTTAACGATGGCCACAAATTTTTAGTGCTTCCAGCTTCAGTCCTAGCTAAGAACGATAATGAAATGCAAAATACAAATACAAAAAATCTAACAATATAGAATTACCTGCATCAACAGAGTACCTTTTGATTACAGGTCCAATAGAGTTCTAGTGCATTAGCTCCAAGATCTGCCAGTCCTGTGATACGCTCCTCGACATCCAGGGAGGTTCAGCTCACATCGGATTTTACATGTATTTTTCACTCTACTTACCACCTTCGCGATAAATGCAAACGAATCACAAACGCGAGAGCAGCTACCTTAGCAAAGTGACTTTGCCTCGGTCTGCTGCTCGACCGCAAACTCTTTTCGGAAAAATTGAGCGGCGATCTACCAGAAGCTAATCTTATCTTAACTAAAATGGCTGATAAAACAGCTCTTAAATATGCATTGAATGTTGATGAAGTGCCGATGATATCGCAGCGTATGATTGAAGCAGATTTAAGGGCTCTTTTACAGCCATAAGGCCAAAGTCGAATTGTGAGCTGCACGCCGAATAATAAGCCAACAAATGGCCAATTTGAAAAACAGTACAAAGTTACAGTTACAAAGGATTTTGCTAATTAAGTAAAGGAAATCTGTGTGCAATTCACAAGTCCGACTGCCTGGCCATTATATACTTTATCTATGTCTAATGATAGCCCATCGACAGTCGATGACTGGATCGGGCAAAAGTTTAAATGTCAACCAACCTTGAGCCTCTGTGTTGCCTTGATCCGCGCCGGTGTCGACAAACGAAGAGTCACTGTAGCTCTGCGACTGCTGCTTGACAACGGCCTTTGACGTGGTGGCTGCGATGCTGGTGCTCGTGTTACCACCAGTTTGGTTGCCTGCATCTTCGTTCTCGGTGAAATAGCTGTCGTCATAGCGCATGTCGCCGTAGGCATCATCCTCTACGTAGGGCGTATCGCCATCGCCCGCTACCTCGGCATGCTCTTCGCTATAATCCGGCTCTGACTTTGTGGGCAATTCCATTGGGAGATCAATATATTCAGCTTCCTCTTGAGCGGCAGCCTGTTGCTGCTGCTGGCGCACCTGATGCACCTTCGTGTCTGCGGCCACCACAGTTGTCTGCACGGTTATCTGTTGGGTTCCCAGCTGCTGTGTGCTAGTTGTGGCATTCGCAGACGTGTCCGTTGTCGATTCCAGTGGGTCAATTACGTTGGCGGCGGCGGTGCTGGTTGTGGTGGATGTCTTTGAGCGCTTCACAGCCCCTGAGCCAATCAGACTGCCCCGTTGGGCCGAGCGTTTGTTTGTCGACACCAGCGTAGCTGTTGTTGTGGTGCCCGTCTGCAGCTGCTGCGTTTGTATGTGCTGCTGCTGCTGCTGTTGCTGGGGCTGTTGTACGATGGTGGCTTGTGGTGCGGCTGTTGTCTGGATGACGATTTGTGTAGTGGCCTTATCATCGCCCAGAACATCGTCAACGGTCTCAATCTTGTACCGGGCAGAGGTACGAGGCTGTTGACGTTGTACACGCTGGGCGGGGATTTGTTGTTGTTGTTGTACATGAGGTGCGGCTGGTGGGGGTGTGGGTTCCTGTGGGGGCTGCGGCGCAGGATCATTCTGGAAAATTCAACAATGTTTACATATGGCTGGCAAACATGATAAGAGAACAAGGGTTAACTGTGCGCCCAAAACTCTAGCATTTGACATAAATTTAATATACATACTCTTTTTCAATAATACAACAGAGAAAACCATACGAACCTATCTAAATACTCATATAGCCACTACTTTTTGTAGGCTATTAAATTATAGTTTTAGTTGACTAGTTTTGTCAATATCTTTAAATAAATATTTACCCTCATATATATTGCAAATTGCAATACAAATTTAGAATGATATTACTTCTTGCGTATAGTAAATAATCACCAAAACGCACGCACGCTTCGGCCACCTACTTGTTACATATTTCAAGACAAAAGCGCGATTATCTCTCTTTGTTAGGGTATAGCAAACAACCACCAAAACGCGCGCATATTGATACCATCTAAAGCTGGCAAAGAGAGCGAAACAAATACACAGTCAACAGTGGCATACTCATGCCATCTCTGTCGCGCGTGCACGCTCGGTATGTAGCGTGTTTCGTTTTATAACTGAGTACAGTCAAACCAGCTCTTATACAGACAATTTCTACTGTGTGTGTGTGCGTGTGCGCTTTGTATGTATTGCGCGCGCGAACAGCGCTGTATGTTGTTCTCTTCTCGTATAAAGCTAAGGTATATGGATTTATACTCACATCTGTCAGCCCCTTTATTTGCAGCGACTCTGCTGTGCTTATGAAGGCTGGCAAGGCGTCCTGTTTAACGTTCACTTCGCCGCAATACATAAACTGAATCAGATCCTTTAATGCCGAATGACTGACATTATTTAAGAAAACTGCAAATTTAGAGAAATATGTAAGAATTTGCTCGCATGGCAGTTGTTTTCTGTTTTTTCTCATTTTTGTTTCGGTACTTACCAATGGCATGGGTATTCGATGGCATTTGCGTAAACATTTTGCGGAAAAAGGGCGAGCAGACGGACAGCACCAAACGATGCGCCTTCACGATTTGCCCCTCCGCAGCCAACGAAACATCCACCAGATCCCCACGACATAGCGATTCGTGGAACCCAGCAGACAGATTTGTGTTGAAATTGTTCCAGCACAAACTGAATTGCTCGTCGTCCGCCATCTTGGACGAGCGTAGAAATCAATAGAATTTTCTGTATCTGCTTTGTGTGTGTGCTGATGAAAAAAATTTAAAGATGCGAAAATCAGTTTAAGTTAGATTTTTTTTTTTTTGCAAGCAAGGTGGATGCGGATAGACATTTGTTTACAAATGTCAAGCCACATCAAAAATGCAGACGCATACAAAATTTAGAAGTGAAAAAAACTGGGAAATTTTTCACGCGTGCCGAGGCATCAATTTTTTAGTTATCACATTGATTATAATCAACGTAAAATATATTAAATTCAATAATGTACTATATGCAAAAGAGCATAGCTTACCTATATCAAATGTATTTTTATTATAAAATACTTAGTTTAAGCACAAATTAAAAATAATTACTTTTACTGCGCTGATGACGCGCAGTTGCGTCCAACTTTTGCAACGAGTACCACGAAATAAATGTATACTAGCTAGGGATGAACGACAGTTTTATACTGGGTAGGTATGCTGCAAGGTAATCGATATATCGATGCGCAATACACGCGATAGTTTTCGCGTATACAGCACTGCTAAGTGTTGGCAAAGGAAAAATAATAATTTAAAAATTCAAAGTAACTGACAAAAAATACAATTTGTATTTATTTAAATAGACACTGATATCTGTTAAACTTATGTAATATATTATTTGAATAAATGAATAATGATTTGTAATGTTCTATTCGTACTTTTATTTTGTTATGGTGTGGTTAAATTCAAATTAATTTTCCTTGCCCATTATAATATTATTTGAATAAATAAATAATAATATGTAGTTATTACATTTATATTTTATATAACTCATATTTAAATTTTTTTTTTTAAACTTATTACTTTATTTGTTTTTTAGATAAAAACAAATAAAATAATAATTAAAAAAAAAAAAAAATTGAAAATATTGTAGACAATATCTTATTTTTACCGTGACACTTTAAAACTCATTCTACCAAAGATTTGTTTATTGAGTCAAGTGTGCGAAATTCTGCACTTGAGCTCCACTTGAAATCGGATCAGTGATTCAAAAGCGCCAATTAACATGGAATATTATTTGTATGTATATTTTTGTGTAGAAAAATGACTTAAGGACTGCAGTAATAAATACACATACTTAAGTTCAAGAAGCGAAATTAAATCTGCATGAAGAGGCTGTGAACAAACAACAACAACAGTAAGGGAGAGAAGAGACAAGACAAACACGCACCCACGCGCACACACACACGCACGCGGCTCACTAGCATTTAGCTGCTTGGCCTGTGCTGCGCTGTGATTGGCTATAAGATCCGCCATTTTCTTGAGGAGGCAACATAGATGCGTATGTGTGCATGCGAGTTTGTGTGGGTGTTTGGCCAGCGCCTGCAAAGATTCAATTTTCATTCAGTACGAAAAACGCGCTGACAAATTGAGGACACGCTCGAGTGCGCAGCGGAACGGCGCATCGTTGGAGTTTACATAGCCAAATAAGACGATTACGTTAGCACCCCAACCCCTGGCACCTAAGCATTATCGCTGCTGCCCTCCCCCTCTCTCTCGCATCGTCAAGTGTCGCTCGAGTCCGTGCGAGTCAAGTGCATTTTGGCAAATTGCTGTATTTATTTTAATTTAAAGTGCGACCCACTCGAGTGATTTAAATTGTGGCAAAGCCAAACAAACAGAAAAACCAAACATACAAAAAAAAAAAAAAAAAAAGGAAGTGTAAATAATACAAAAATTCAAAATCAAATTCAAAGAAATGTTGCAACATCATCAGCACCAGGCACAATCCGCCGTCTACTATGACTACAATCAAACGCCCAGCCCCAGCAGCCTGACCAATGCGGATGCGCTAAACACAACCCCATTCTCGGTCAAGGATATACTGAATATGGTCAATCAAACGGAGGCATACGATGGCGCCTATGGCCATCTAGAGAGGTAAGAGCATACAGTTCGCAGAATAGGCATATACTATGCTGGGCATGAGATTGTCTAACAATGTAACAGGAATATGATACAGCTTTAGAAAATATATTCAGTCATAAAATATGGTAATTTTCATAATTGGGTAAATACTAGTTCTAGTTAGAAGAGAAATTACATTTTTAGATGTTTTCGATATAGAATTGGAATAATACATTTTATTTAATTGTTTGTTGTTGCTTTACTAGATTATGATTTCAAAGAAAAAAGAAAATTACTTATACTATTTTATACAGAATTATAAAATATCTATAATGTTGTACTTTTAAAATGTTTCTGTAAAATATCAAAGTTTCTTTGAAGTGTATACCAGGTTTTTGCTCTGATATAATATAGGATGCAATGTTTAGATGATCATGAAAAGCTATAATATAAGACATAATGGAAGACAGGTCTTATACTACAATAGTAGTATAGAAGTATCTATAGTATAATAAGGTCTTGGTCTATCTACCTGTTGTCAGCGAACCTTTCTACAAATCTTCGTCTTGGACAAGCCAAATTTGGTCTTGTGTATTTTATATTATTTATTTTTAATAAGGCTGCCAAGGAAATTAATTTCTACCAATTTTCCACGAAACAATAATATTATGCTAACCTTTGGGCTGAGAAACCGATAAGCGAGCGAACAGATAGATAGGAGAGAGAGCGAGCGAGAGAGTTATAGTATAAGAAATCCTATAAAAACATATGAGCAGCATGAATTGCAAATAGGACTAAAAGGACAAATCATTGTTATTTGTACAAGAGGCCAGAGACGAAAGACGGGAGACGAAAGACGATAGACGATAGACGGAAAACAAAGACAAAATGCAGCCGCAGCCGTAGCCAGGCAAAGTTTTAACAATAAGAAAAACAAAGTCCGAGTCAGAGAACGAGGCAGGCAGGCAAACGAGGCAAGGCAAGCCAGGCGCCGCGCCGGACCTTGAGCTGCTGTCTGCGTCCTGGCCAACATGTGTGATTCGCATGTGCAGTAATTGTGATGAGGCATGAAATGATGTCACCAAGGGGCCGGATATGTAGAGCCAGCAGGACACGCGGCCGGAATGCAACATGTGCTAAGCAGGCCAATAGAACTCAGCATTCACTTTTCGCTTTTTCTTCCCTTTCGTTGTCCTGCAGCGCCTCCGCGCTCTATGGCGCCGCTGAGTACCAACAACAGCAGCAGCAGCAGCAGCAGCAGCAACAGCAACAGCAACAGTTACAGCATCCACTCGAGCAGGCCAGCCAGGCGCAGCTCGCACAGCTTCAACTCCAGCAGCAGCACCAGCAGCAGCATCATCTGCAGTCACATCTTCTCGAGCCAGAGCAGGATCCGTTGGCAGCATCCGCGCTGTCGCCGCTGTTGCCGCCGCCGGCGTCGTCGCATGGACACCATCAGCTCTACGCCAGCTATCACCAGGACTATGGCATGCCCAGTCACATGCTGCAGCATGCCCACCCACATCCACATGCACATCCTCATCCACATACACATCCGCATCAGAGCTATCAGCCACCCTACAATGTGAGCGCCTCTCAGTTCTATGCCACGCCCACTGCAGGCGGCTACCAGAGCAACTACAACTACAATTACAATGCGTCGGATGTGTACGCCAGTCCCTCGGCAGTTGTTGCGCCGAACACGGCCATCAAAAGCGAGTATATACCCACGCCCTATGTCACGCCCTCGCCCACACTCGATCTGAACAGCTCGACGGAGGTGGAGTCTCTGGCCCCCACCCACAAGCTGGCCAATGGCAACGGCCTAGCACAGCGACTGCTCGACCCGCGGCACATGAACGCCACAACGGAGTGCGCAAAGAAAAGTGAGTACCCTGAAATACCCTGTAATTGAGTGAAATTGGGTAGATCAAATGTAGAAGCTGGTCAGATTGTTATCCTTCAAGGATCAGCGTCAGAAATCAAGTATTTTTAAATTTATCGATAGCATTAGTCTGTCATTCTATTCCAGATCTTGATTATTATTATTAGTATTATTATTAGATAGATAAGCGCAATCAAAATAGAATTTTGTTTTATTCAAATTGTTAATAGCAGTTCGACTTCCGTCAAACAATCACTTTTATAATTTGGGGGATTCAAGGAGTTAAGTACAGAGCCAATGTACAGTAGAATCTCTGTAGGGAGACCAAATTTGTTGTCACAATAACCGTACAGACGCTAAAAGCGGAGTCGGTATAGCCGGATTTTACAGTAAATCTCCCGGTATTTTCTATAATTCCATTTCCCAATGACATCAAACAGATGTTTCATTAGTCTCATCCATTCTAGATTAATTCATATTTCAATTTATAGATTGCTTTCGATAGTATATTTATTATCGTTATCTCTTAAGTTTCCTCTTCCTTAATGCCAAACACTCCTTTCAATCTTCCATTTTCAGAGGACAGCCAGGTGACATCCTCCCGCTCCGAGTTGCGCAAGAATAATAACAATAATAACAACAACAATAACAACAACACCAGCAACAGCAATAACAACAACAACAACAATATCACAAATGCCTCTGGCAAGCCCCGCATGAAACGCAAACCGCGTGTCCTCTTCTCCCAGGCGCAAGTCCTGGAGCTGGAGTGCCGCTTCCGCTTGAAGAAATACCTAACTGGAGCCGAGCGAGAGATAATCGCACAGAAGCTGAATCTATCCGCGACACAGGTGAAAATCTGGTTCCAGAATCGACGCTACAAATCGAAACGCGGCGACATCGACGGCGAATGCTTCGCCAAGCAGCTGAAGCTCAAGCCAGACTCCTCACAGTCGCAGACGCAGTCGCAGTCGCAGTCGACGTCGCTGCCACTGCCGCCGCCACCGCTGGCCAGCCACATGATGTGGCCACCTACCGGCCAGCAGCTGCAACTGCAATAGCAGCCCTATCAATAGAGAAAATTCTAACTTATTGCAACCTATGCAGATCTTATGTTTTAGCCAATGAAAATGCCTCATAACTCTAGTACCTTCTTGTATATATATAAACATACTATTGGACAATAAATAAAGTTTAAGAACGAAACGGAATATGAGGACGCTTTTTGGGGTTGAAGAAGATTTTCCATAAGGGAAAATCTGGTGTTAGACCAACAGTATACTAATATTGGGCTCTATACTGTCTGATAAACCTCTCTGACATTCTCATTCAGCTGCCGCTCTTTGTGATTCTCGAAAAGTCCACTTAATCGAAAACTCAATATGAGTATTATCTTTTATCATACTCAAGATTCGAAAGGATCTTTCTGCTCTACATATTCAAAAGCGTTTCAATCAAGACCGTATTTTCTTCTCTTTCCCTTACAATTCTTACCCTTTCCCATGAACTTTTGTTATGCAAGCTTATAAGTTTTTTCTACTCTCTTCGCTTCTCATATTTTTGGCTTGAAATCAATTTGATTTTTGTGAGGATTCTTTCTTTCTCTTTGTCACACAGTTGCTGCATTCTCTTTCGGATCGGTTCTATCTCTCTCTTTCCTTCTCCCTTCTACTTTGGATCTGATGCCTTAGCTTTATGCATAAGTTTGTTCCTTAGCAAGACTCTCTCTGTGCTTTGCATTTGGATTAAAAAGGAATCTCTCTCTCTCTCTCTCTCTCTCTCTGTCTCTCTTTCTCTCTGTCAGTGATTCTCATTCAGCAGCTTTTCACTTTGATCTCAATGAGGATCAATTACAGAGCATCAGCTGCTGCTGGGTTGCCTTTGAGTTTCATTTAATAATTGCCTGAACAAAGTGCTCGCCCATGCCAGTTCCACGATTCCTCGATATATACATATACGTCTATATACATGTATAGTTTTGGATGTGTGCTGGAGGCGAGCAGGCGAGTAACGGAGTAGCTGCCACCGATCCATTAGGCACCGCATCTGCGTATAATTGTTGTCGATCGCCGCATAAATCAATTTTATCAAAACGCAACGATCAGTTTTATGAATAAATGAGGAAAAACGCCAAAAACAATTTCCGTTTTTATTTTTCGAGAAACCAACACGAAAACCACAATGAAATGTTTTCCTTTTGCAAAAGGGTTGAGCGAGCGGAGAGAGGGGCAAGGGTGGGGGGAAAGTAGGCAAAGGGAGAGGATTGGGGTGCTGCATCGCAGACATTACAAAGGTTGCTTTTATGAAACGTTTAAGTGGCAGCCAATGCAACTGTAAAATGTTTTACAACAGACACAGCAACAGGCAGAGCCACTGCCACAGATACAGATACAATTGCAGTGGCAGCTACAGATACAGATGCAGCTAAACAGAGACACAGATACACAGATACATTGGCAGACATTTATGACAGGGCGGGCTAATATTTCATGGCGTGTGTGCTTGGGGGCAAAGTTGCCGCTGCCACTCGGTGGTGCAGTGGTTGCTGTGGTGCTGTGGTGCTGGAGTGCCACATATCAATTACTCCACAAACACATGCCACACAGGCCAAAGGGCTGGGGCAGGGGCAGGGGCCGGGGGTATCGGAACAACGGGGCAACGAAGCAAGTGCAGCTGATCACACTTTTTGTTTCCTCTTTTTTGTTTTCTTTGCTGCTGTGAAGCATTTTTGACAGGCTGAACTTTTGGGGCGGCTTTGGGGCACTGTCCCGGGTCAAATGTCAATCAGAGAGCATCAGTCGTGGATTTAGATAAAATTATGACAGGCTGCCAGCACATATAGGGCCAATCATAGAGCAAACTCCGAGAGTGCGCCCTCTGGGAATATAAACTCTATCACTATGATAACTTTTAAAAGGTATACAGCATGGAAATGAAAGTGATCTAAGTAGATTTAATGATATATATATATATAAATTGATATACCGAGGTCAAAGTTTTCTCGGTCAAGTAGAGCTGTACTCCAAGTGTTAGTAGAAGCATTCGCCAGCACAGCGTCTGTTAAATTCTTAAATATCAATCACAATGAGATGTTATCATACTCAATTTCCTTAGGCTCTCTCGATGTTTTTTCTTTCAGATTTGGTTTGTATATTTTCTTCTATATTCAGACTCTTCGTTGTTAAAATTTTTCTATATCCTGATCCTAATTCAAGCATTCTATGTCTCCATCGTTATTTATTATTCTCATTGTTCATTCTTAAACGCTTTCAAGCAGATCAATAACTCTCGCGGGGGCGTGGTCAGCACAGTGGCAAACAAAACGCCCCCAAAGGACATGTTGCGCCCTGCTTGGGCTGAACCGAGGCATGTCAAGTACCTCTAAATGTTGCCTAATGGACCACACTGACCAGAGCAAGAACAAGAGCAAGAAGAATGGATCGAAGCTGGAAATAACGCTGCCTACATTAAGGTTTCGTCTTACAATATCTTCGACGTCGTCGTATTCGACGTCTTCGTCTTCGCCGACTTCGTTGTCGTCGTCTGGAGTCTAGACCGTGGCTCAAGTGGAAAATTTGTCATTTACCCATATATCACATGGGATCTGTGAGATAAGCGATGGATGCGTTGTGGTTGGGCTTGTAGCGCCGTTTAATTCATGTTGCGTCAAAGGATCAAAGGCGCCACAAGCCGCAGACGCAAGCCGCAGCTACCCTCTCTCTCTTTCACTCTCTCTATCTCTTTCTCTCTCTGTTCCTCTCTCTTTGGCTGCTTTCACCGCTTTCATTTGCATTTCCTCAATTAAAACTGTGCCGCGAGAAGCCGCCAAAGTGAGCGTTAGGTAAGCAAATTAAGATTTATTAACAACAATAAATAAACAAAATAGCAAATGCAACAGCAACAATTAGTCAGCCAAATACACTCAGAGAAATGTTAAATATAGAACTTGAAATATCTGAAGTCCGTTTGGGTCTGAAACAAGGTTTAAAATTGAAATCAAAATAATTTTTAGAAATATTAGAAAACATTGAAAAATTTTGAATAATTTAAGTTCGGTGTATCAGTTTACAGCTTTTCGCTAAGTGTAGGGTTGGAGTACTCCACGATCCCTCAGCCGGGTGGCATTCGAATTGCGTAATTTTCCAATTGATTTTCCTTTGGCTTTTCCTTTGCGCCTTTCGGCTGTCAGTGGGCGCCTTCGCCTTTAATCTTTGCTCTGTCAAGTGGATTCATCCCAAACAACAAATATCCCAAAGAGTTTGACATTATATCAAAAAGAAAAGAAAAAACAGAAGAAGAGGAAGCTGAATTTATTCATTGAGTTGTTCATTTCCATTTGATGTGGCCATAAAAATCGCGAGCTCATTTTACATTTTCCACTCTATAGAGTCTCTACTATATATATATGTATACCACATATACATATATATCGGGTTAAATGTTTCTGTTTTATTTCCATCAATTCTGCTGTGCGGCGTTTCAAGTGGAAAATTGTGACAATTATATTCAAATTAATTGAGTAATTGCATACGAAAACTGAAGATCGTGTCATTTAAAAGCATTTGATTTACGGCCTGTGGAAAATCCCACTCGAGCGACTCATATTACATATACAGGGGAAAGTAAGGATCTATCACTATCGATATAGATGTATAGTAATAGAGTAATTACTTTAATTTAACTTCTTATTTACTATTAGGAAATATGTAAGCAATATTAGTTTATATATTGAAATCGCTGGAATCGTTTCACTATATCATATACATACATATATATAACTATAGCATATAAAAGGGTATATTCGCTTTGTGTTGATCATCCGTCGGTACGCGAGCAAGTATTTCTCATGGGTGCACAGCAAATTATAGAAGTTTCAGCTCCTCTACAAGTCGATCTATAAATTCAATATTGAATTCTTACCACTTTTTACTTTTTCATTCACTGTTTCGTTCATTCAGTCGGCCATTCTTCACTCTATTCTATAATTTTCTATTTTATATATTATTGTTTATATGTAAGTATTGGTTTGATTATTAAGACGTAGTTCTAATCGAATAATCGATTCAAATCATTTTTTTGTTTGAATTGTAACGGAATAAATGCTGAATACTGCTTGTTCGCCAAGCATCATATAAGCAGTGCAACACAACAGCGCACAAGCAGTCACATTGTGGATGCTAAAAAGCAGTGCACGCTGAATGCAAGCAGAGCATAACCGCCTATGTGGATTGTGCGCATAAATTGAAAAATCGGTAATATGAAAAATTATTTTCAACAATTAAAGCGTGCGTATTCATTTATAGTTTTCTCTTATCCGCCAAAGCTGTCTTTCCTCTAGTAATGCAATTAAACAAGGAAATGATGAATCCATAGCTCACTCAGTGCTGTTAGCTTTGTGTACTTAAAGCAAACACACGGAGGAACACTTGCCGAAAATCAATCAAACGACGAGCGAACGCAATATGGCTCAAATTTCATAACATTGGCTTAAAGAACGCTTTAAATATTGCTTACAAAATACTCTCAATGTTAATGCACAAGCAAAGCAATGCTGAGCAAACAATTGAAGTGCTTTTTGATAAACCATTAAAGCGAATCGAATACCAACAAAATCGACAACAGAGCTGACAGCGAGGAAGACGAGCCAATGTCTCCTGCCGAGTGGTGGTGGTGGGTGCACGAAATCAAGTTAATTGAAAATCTCTATTCATCATTCGATTCACTTCTGTGTAATCTAATACCTGTTTGGTGTGTCAATAAACTATTTGCAGATAATCGCATCAGCAGTGCCAACAAAAAAATGAGCTCTGCCATTCAGTGAATGTGCTGGGACAAAGGCGAACGCGTGGCAAGCATCATTATACTAATTACTCGAGTATTATTGAAATGCATTCAATTGAAAGCATTATAACGAGCATTCCCCGCACTCAACCCTCAACCCTCCAACCATCCAACCCGCAAGCCTCAACCCCTACTGCATCACTTTGAGCGCACTTGAAAATTGGTTACTTACTTACTCAATTCTGACCGCAGCGACAACAACAGCAACAATAATCGCAGCAGCAGGACATGTGAGCGTGCTCTAATGGGGTAAACACGACTAGAAGATACCAAAGAAAATTCGTGCTTAGAGTATTGCAGAGCCCAGAGGACAGTTAATTTATATTAGCTATAATCAATAAACTTAAGTCCTGTTATTATATAAAATTAATTTTAATAGTTCTGAAGATTTGTTGCTTCTGATCTTCTTTATTTTCCTATTTATACACTTTAAATGCTCGTCTGTTACATACCTTTGCACTTCCGACATTATACCCTGCTTATCACACTTTCAAGGGGTTCAGTGTAGTTCGCACACGCTGCTTTTGCTTCCTTTTGTTTCGACCGCCGTCGCTGACTTTGACTTCGGCTGCCCGAGGCGACGGCAACAGCAACGGCAGCAACGGCAGCAACGGCAGCAACGGCAGCAACGGCAGCAACGGCAGCAACGGCAGCAACGGCAGCAACGGCAGCAACAGCAGCGACAGCAGCCCATTGGCATTAAGAGTCATTGAATTGGCAATAAAAAGATTATAGCCCGAAGGTGTGAAGTGTAGCAGAGAACAAGCGCAAGCATCCCCCACCCGTAGCGCAAGCGAGAGCATCTGTTCCGCTCTGACATCCATTCACTCGCTCCTCGCATTTGCTCTCTCTCTCTCTCTCTCTTCGTGAGCATCTCACTCAAGCTGGCGAGCTTGCTTTGTATGCGCGCAGCCATTTTGCTGCTCGGACCAATCGGGTGCCATTGTGAATTTGTGACGGCGGCAATTGGCCAATGGCAGACGTCCTCTTTGGAAATGTGCTCAAACGGTACTTTGAAATGAGATTTTAGTGAGCACAGCCACATAACTGTTGCCCTTTTTTGAGGTACTATAAGAAGAGCCTGAAAAATGTGAAATAAGTGTCTAAGACATGTTGAGTATTTATAGAGATTTGGCTAGACTTTAGAGAGTTGCTTTTGGAGAGTTGATATTGGCTTATTGGCTTATATTTAATCATTGAAATAAAAAGAAGACATAAATTGAGTAGATAAGACATCAAATTTGACAAATTATCATGGGAACTGAACACATTTCTCTAAATCAGGCATAAGAATATATAGAAAAGTCTTATCTTAAATGGAGAGAATTATTGGTACCTGTTAATATTGTAATTACCATAAAATCTTAATATATTGTTGATACGCATTTAAAATGCTATGCTTAAAACTAAATAAATACAACTTTAAGAAAATGTAAACTCGTGGAAAATGCTTGGAATTGATGAGGCACCATTAAATTTACTTCAAGTCAGTGCAATGTGTTTCTTTCCCTTTCAAGATATTTCCGCATAATTCTCTGAAATCTAAACAAATCAAACGTGAAAAGAAAACTGCGTCTCAGAGCCAGCTCTAACTGTACCTAGTTGAAGCCTGAATCAATTACACAATAGTTAACACATTTATAAACAATAAACAGGATGCAGGCACTACCAAAAATAACGCAAAGATTTCCAATCTCATTTGTTTACAGTTCACTTGAGAGCAAACTCAAATGTGAGGCCCAACGGCCGGCCAATGGGCGAGCCGAGCGGCAACTAGCTCAAAGTCTTAATATAGAACAGAATCCACCACCAAGAAGAGCAGTAACGGCAGCAGCAGCAGTCGCCGCACTTGAGTGTGCCATATGGAGCAGCATGTGAGTGATTCTCTCTCTGGGATGATCCATTCAGGCTGCAGTTATTTAAAGAGCGCTCGCGGCGCGGCAGTCGAGCGCATTTGTGACGCAGCCGTCGAGACGGGCAGACGAAAAATAAGTGATTAATATTACATAAAGAGCAGATAGATATATATCTGATATATATACAATATATATAGAGTTGGTGTGTTAAGTGAATCATGTTGAATATGGAAAGTGCGAGTGCCGGCGCCTCATTAGCGGGCTTGAGCAAGACTCTGACTACGCCCTTCTCGATCAACGACATTTTGACGCGCAGTCAGCCCGCGCGTCGCATCTCCGATCCGGAGCCCGAGTTGGAGCTGCAAGTGAGCAATAAGTCGTGCTGTCGCGATCTCAATCTCTACAAGCTGGCCCAGGAGCAGGCTACCAGTGCCCAGCCGTCGAGCTACTTGCAGTTCTATGCCCTGGATAACAACAATCCGGCCAGCTCCTCCTCCGGCAGCCCCGCTGCCAACTCGGCCGCCTCTGCCTCATTGCAGCGCAAATTGAGCTACTTTGGCGCCGCTCTGTCCGCTGCGGCGGCACCCCTTGACATGCGACGCTGCACGAGCAACGATTCCGGTGAGTTTTAGCCTTTCCTTTGTTAGCTAATGGACTCTATTATCGCCTGACTAATGGCCTCGATGGAGCTTTGTTTGCAATTCCCCTCCCAATTGGAGTCCTTTGTGTTAACTTTTTGCAAATTTGTGGCTTTCCTTGCAGACTGCGACTCGCCGCCGCCGCTGAGCAGTTCGCCTGCCTCCTGCGGCGCAGGCGGCTATGGGCGTGGCGGCTCGCCGCTCTCCCACGATGATAGCCTGAGCGGCGCTGCACTCAGCCGCAAGAAGCGCTCGCGTGCTGCCTTCAGCCACGCCCAGGTCTTTGAGCTGGAGCGTCGTTTTGCCCAGCAGCGCTATCTATCTGGACCGGAGCGCAGTGAGATGGCCAAGACGCTGAGGCTCACCGAGACGCAGGTGAAGATCTGGTTCCAGAACCGCCGCTACAAGACGAAGCGCAAGCAAATCCAGCAGCATGAGGCAGCGCTGCTCAGCGCCACCAAGCGTGTGCCCGTCCAGGTGCTAGTGCGCGAGGATGGCAGCACGGCCTACATGAGCCCTGGAGCAGCAGCAGCAGCAGCAGCGGCTGCCTCTGCCTACCCACATGGCCTGGATCCGGCTTTGCTCAACATCTACCGGCATCAGCTGCAACTGGCCTATGGCGGCTTGCCCTTGCCCCAGGTGCACTTTCCGTATTTCTATCCGCATCCAAAGGTGCCGCAGCCCATCCCGCCGCCAAGCAGCCAGCAGAGCGCGCTCTCCACCAGCTATGTCAACGGCTCGTCGGCATCCTCCTCACCGGCTCGCAATCCCAGTCCCGGACAGACGGCGCAGGTGCTGTGCGTGGAAAGCGGCGCCGACAGCAACCACTCGGCCACCGAAGACTGCGAGGAGAATGTGGAAATCGATTGAGAGTATTGAGTATTTCTTTAAATTTGCTCATTGTGATAGCAATCGATGTGGGTTCTCAGTGGGAGAGACTGAGGGAGGTGAGAGTGGGTGGGAGAGAGGGAGGGATAAAGATAAAGATTCCCTGTCGAGAGAGAGTGTTAGAGCGATTCTCTAGCTGATAGCTTTAGTAGCTTTAAGTTTTAGTAGTATGTAAATATATGTTAAAATCTTTATGCAAATAAATATGAAAATAATCAAACAGAATTGAGAACAGTTTTTCCTTAGAAGATTTCAACAATTTTTTAATGTTTTAGCGAAGTCTAATTTTCTCGAGTGCTCGAGGGTGACAAAAACTATGAAAATGTGAAAAAAAAAGAGAAACAATCTCAAATTATATAAACAAAATAATATATGATAAAATAAATACATACTACACATACGAGCTAAAACGTCTTAATCGCAAGTTTTTTAAACGTCCCTCGTAAAACGAGTGGTTTGTTCATCTCAATTAACAAATTTTCGACATTGAACGCATTATGAACACATTTTCACGATTGAAGTATAAAGTTCTGTTAATATATTTTTTGTTATTAAAATAAAGTAGATTAACCTTATTGATTCCATTTTAAGAATAGTATAACTTCATTGTGGCTCTGCGAAAGAATTATAGATAGATAGAATTTGAGTGATAGAGAGCCATGAAGCGTATACACTGAATGAAATCAATATGACAAGAGCATAGACCAAGATATTTTCAAGATACTAAGGTATAGATTATTAAATGGAATTTCTAATATATCCAGGAAAAAAAAAACGATTAATGGTAATGCAAAGTTCTGCTTTGATCATCAAAGCCATTTAGCACTACATTTCTGATAGTAATTTTTCTAGCAAAAGAAAGTCGTGATGCAAAACTGACCTCATTTTGAATTTGAGCTACGTTTGGCTTTTCAAATTCTACTTCAGAAATGACAGGCAGATCAAGCGGGAAGTGTCTCAAGATCCGTTCCACTGAAGTGTTCCACGCGTGTGGGCCGAAAGAATTGCAAAAATGAGCCACAAGAAGAGGAAGAACATCAATGACGATGATGATGATGATGATGATGATGACGATGATGACGACGTCGGCGCTGGGCACTCAGTGTCGGCATAGAAGTGCTTCAATGTGTCAGCCTCAGACGGGCGCACAGTCTCTGACCCACAAATGTCTGACTAAAACGCACACACACACACACACACACACACGCACACACTCAATGCAGTTTGCAATGCGCTTTCGCAAGATCAGCGGCTAGAAATGTAGCAAGGACTTGTCTGTGGCTATGTCCTTAGCCGCACAGCTGGTGGCTGACGACAACAAGGACATGGCTCAAGTGCCAAACGGCGACAATTTCCACAATTCATGTTTACAAACAAACAAATGGCAGAAGTCGGACGATCAGGCAATCGCCTGATCACAGTAAACACTTTAGGAGCAACAAATTCGGCTCGAGTTACAAATTGTGTTTTCATATCTATCTACAATATAGATCGATGAACTGTGCCTCAACTCTCGGCCTGCTGCCTCTCTGCCCAAATAGCAGCCCTTTCTCTATGTCTAGCGTCTGGCAACTGTGTCAACAATAGATCCGACTCGATGCTCGCTCGCATTCTCTAGCTAAAAGCCCAGAGCTGAGAGCTACGACCACGAAATTGGGGACACTAAAATCAATTGACAGTTGTAATTACTTGTGTCAATATGTGTCTGGGCGGGTATCTGCGAGCCAAGACACACGCGTGGCGCCCCCCGCCTGCTGCCCTGTTTGCCATAATTCAGTTTTCGCGCCAGCACAGGAAGTGCTCCAGATACGATCAATGAAATGGATCATTCATTCTTTTGCCCTAATAGCAAAAGATAAATAATATGCTGAGCATTCGAGTTGTCTAAGCAAAAACACAAACTTGCTATATTGAAAATTAAAAAACAAGTGATTTATTTAGTTCAGTCTAATCGACAGCTGCTGGAAAAGTGTTTAGATGGCTTATGCAATTTTTAAAATATTTTTAACAATGTAGTATTTATTCAAAACAATATTGAAAATTGAAATGAAAATAAGAACGATCACGATAATAGTAATATTATTAGAGGGGTGGGTATGCATAGACTCCTTAAACTATAGACATTCTTGATCAGGATGATCGGTTGAGTCGCTTAAGCAATGGAGGGCATAGATCTTGTAAAAGGGTTTTCAAATAATACGCACTTTCACTTGAATAATTAGAATAGGTGCTCTGAGCAGTGTACAGAATATGCACTAGTCATACAATCCACTCCAGAAAGAACTCAATCTTGCCCAGTTAGAGATGGCTATAGCTACAATAGATTTTTCACTAGACTAAGGCGTGATTTTGGATTGCTTGTGATAAACATGTTAGATCATATCTGAATATGTAACATATTTATTAAACAAATTATTGAGTGCTCAACTATATGCAGCTCTCATTTCAAATATACTTTGCTCAATTATATTCCACTTTTCGCAGCTCAACTCTTCTCTCTCCAGTTTAAATATCATTCCGAATTGTTGAACGACAGCGCTACTTATGGCCGTTGAAGAATTACGCTGCATGTGGCATATATCCGATTGCAAGGATCACTGTTTTTATATCTCACATTTCTGCACTCCTTCATTTGTTTATGATGAGCGCCGTTAAAGGATTTGTTTATGTAGTCCCTTCTTTTTGTTCTTTTATGACACTGTCAGCGGCAGCTACTACTTCTACCGCCACACACTACTTGAGGGCTAATCCTTTCAAGAGGCCGCTCCTCGCCGGTTCACAGTGAGTGCAATTGAATGCGAATTAGTCACGGTTGCATGTGGCGTATGCGCAATCTTTGAACTGCAATTAGTCGTCGGCTGTCGCTCTGTCGCTCTGTCGTCTTGTCGCCTGTCGCTTTTCGCTTGTCTGAGCTGAAAATGTTGTATAAACAAATATAAAATCGTTGCTTATTTTACGCTATTTGGTTAAACAAATTTTTTGGGGCCTGCATTCTTAAGCGGCTATTGAGAGTGCATTTAATGGCAGCATGCAACTAGTTGGCCATATATATGGTCCGCCGATCGGACAGATTAAAGTATAAACAAAATGTTCACTTAATGCTCAAATTGAACAAATTGCAAAATGCATTTGCCCCGCCTTGGGCCCGCTTTGCCTCTTCTTGGCCCATTTGCATGCACTTTGCTTTAGCGTTTTTAGCGCTGTTTGTCTCATCGTTTACCCCTTTCCCTTGCACCCCTTACCCCTCACCCATCACACGTTGCCTGTTGTCTGTTGGCTGATGCTGCTGCTACTGCTGCTGCTGCTGCGTCTGTTGCACACATGTGCGCCAGCCATAAAAGGAGCTGAGACTGTAAATGGGAATGGGAATGAGAATGAGAATGAGATTGGGAGTGGGCATTGTATAGGGATTGAGGATGAGGCGACTGACACTTCGATTTGCAGCTAACGTGCTATTGTTGTTGTTGTTATTGTTATAGCTGTTGTTGTTGCACGTGTTGCTCATAGGCGGGCTTGTTTATGCAACAGCCAAACTTCTTGGTAGAAATAACTCAACGACATATTCATTAAATCAAGCGGAGTCGAGTCGAAAAAGAGTATTACATACAATTATAATGATAATGATTATTATAACGGTTAGAGATACTATAATGTTGTGATTGTTGTAATGGTAATGAAAATATCAATGACACAGCTAATGATAACGCTTGTGAGTAAATCATGATTGAAGATGATGCCAATTATAATGAAAACCATGTCAATAATGTTGCCAATGACAACAATGAATAAGAGTTAACGATTGACAATGACTGTTTAACAGGGTATCTTTCAGTAGAGCACTCTCGATGTAGAGCACTGCACTCTGACTTATTGTTTGACTGAAGTTGTGCTCTTGGTTTTATGGGATCGACGACCACGGGAAGAGCGAGTGAGAGGGCAAGAGATGCAGATAAGAAGAAAGGATTCGAGATGAGAGCGGGTCTAGTGCGATTGCCTAATTGCCTGGATGCGCCTGGAGGGGAGCAGCCCACGGCAGCAGCACTAGATGAGTTAATGAAATGTTTCGCCCCAATAAATGCCGTAAACAAAACAAAACAAAGCGAGGCAAAGCAACAACAAAATAAAGTATAAGAAAATGATGCGCTGTGCTATTTCTGTTTATTTTGTTTTGAAAATTGTGCGTTTAATTTATAGTTAATTGTTTTTCAGCATTTCATTAACCAACCAAAACCAAGAAGCAACGGAACAGATCTGGGTGACTGTGTGCGGTCCCCCAAAATTTCATGAGAAGCCACATACACACACACACACTCCCCCACACAAGCGCACACATTGACACACGGCAATTGTTGTCTGATGATGATGATGCTATTTGCGCAAGTTGTTGATGGTGTTACACCCACACAGACTCACAGACACACATACACACACGCATATATATATATATGCTGTGTGCATATGCGCCGCCCAGTCATATATAACGGCACTCGCCCTCTAGCCAAATCAAAATGGCCACCCACCTCAAAACTCAACCTCAGCGCGGCAGCTGTTGAAATCTTTGCGTAATGCGGCGAACCCCCTACCTTGCGCCACGCCTCCCCCGCCCCTCTACACACTGTGCGTTGCTGTAGGCACTCCTCTGCTTATTTGGCTTGAAATAAAAAAGCATTTAAATCAGATTTTGTTAGCTCCATCAGCAAATCAAGTTTGCAATATGCAATATCCGACTGAGAGATACTTGTCAAGGACTAAAACTCACTAATCTTAGAGCAGATAATAGAAGAAGTCTTAGCTATATAGTCTCTATATACTATGTGACTGAAATAGACAAAAACTCATATCTCAATATTCTATTCAAATTAGGAATATTCATATATAGAGAGAGGTATTATATAGTTAGATCTCTTCTATAGTTCTATATACGATTAGACTTACAGAGCATGACCCTCTTCATTGCTCAATAATCAAGCATCAGCCCAGCTAATACGCTCCACTTTCCTCCGCTTGAGCGTGCATAAAAAAGAGTAGAAATTGAAATGATAAATGTTTTGGTTTTTGTGATTTTGTTTATTGTTCAAATTTCGCCTAAAAAATTTTCAAATTTTACCGCATGTATAAAACGAATCTTTTATAGGCAGATCCTAGATACGAGATATAGAGACGTAGTCGTCGTCGTCGTTGTTGTTGTTGTTGTTGTTGTTGTTG